TCTCTCACAGCTCTCTATCAGATGTCGGGAAAAAGGTTCCCGACATCTGATGGGAAATCTACACAATCTATTTCAGAACAATCTTGTTTTTTGTTGTTTTTTATTCCATTGTCATTTTTAGCAGGAGGTAGTAGATAAAGCAGGACATGGAGGTGGTACAAAAGGTGAAGAAGTATTTCAGGGCTAACTCTTCCCTCTGGTCAGGACCAAAGCTCACTGCGGCTTCACTTCCACGTCTCAGTCCATCTCCTGTTCAGAAAAACTCTTTACCCCCAAAACCTGGTCCACACGGAACTTTGAGACCTGTTCTGCGATGGATTCCTCCTAGACGAATGACACATTACAGGATGATTTATGATGAGTACTTATGAGATTTTTTATTCAAAGACACGAAGACCAGAACCGAGAGTAACTATGGTAACAAAGACCGTTGTCATTATGACAGAAGTAGGATTAATAAAACACATTATCTGAACTCACTGACAGACTTTTTGACGACATCTTAAGAATAATATCAGTTTGTGTGTATGTATGTGTGTCTGTACATGTTTGCCGGTACCTGTGTGTGCGCATGTGTGTGTATATGTGAGTATAAGTATGCATGTGTGTTTGAGTATATGTGTGCGTCTAAATGTGTGTGCCTGGATCTGTGTATGTAATGATATGTGTGTATTTGTATGTAGGTTTGTGTGTGCATGTGTGTGTTTGTATGTACGTGTGAGTGTGTGTATGTGTGTGCATTTGTGTTAGTATGTGAGTGCATGTACGTATACAGTATACAGTGCCTTGCGAAAGTATTCGGCCCCCTTGAACCTTTCAACATGTCGCCACGTTTCAGGCTTCAAACATAAAGATATAAAAATTAAATTTTTTGTCAAGAATCAACAACAAGTGGGACACAATCGTGAAGTGGAACGACATTTATTGGATAATTTAAACTTATTTAACAAATAAAAAACTGAAAAGTGGGGCGTGCAATATTATTCGGCCCCCTTGCGCTAATACTTTGTAGCGCCACCTTTTGCTGCAATTACAGCTGCAAGTCGCTTGGGGTATGTCTCTATCAGTTTTGCACATCGAGAGACTGGAATTCTTGCCCATTCTTCCTTGCAAAACAGCTCGAGCTCAGTGAGGTTGGATGGAGAGCGTTTGTGAACAGCAGTCTTCAGCTCTTTCCACAGATTCTCGATTGGATTCAGGTCTGGACTTTGACTTGGCCATTCTATCACCTGGATACGTCTATTTGTGAACGATTCCATTGAAGATTTGGCTTTATGTTTTGGATCATTGTCCTGTTGGAAGATAAATCTCCGTCCCAGTCTCAGGTCTTTTGCAGACTCCAACAGGTTTTCTTCCAGAATGGTCCTGTATTTGGCTCCATCCATCTTCCCAACAATTTTAGCCATCTCCCCTGTCCCTGCTGAAGAAAAGCAGGCCCAAAGCATGATGCTGCCACCACCATGTTTGACAGTGGGGATGGTGTGTTCAGGGTGATGAGCTGTGTTGCTTTTACGCCAAACATATCGTTTTCCATTGTGGCCAAAAAGTTTGATTTTGGTTTCATCTGACCAGAGCACCTTCTTCCACATGTTTGGTGTGTCTCCCAGGTGGCTTGTGGCAAACTTTAAACGAGACTTTTTATGGATATCTTTTAGAAATGGCTTTCTTCTTGCCACTCTTCCATAAAGGCCAGATTTGTGCAGTGCACGACTGATTGTTGTCCTATGGACAGACTCTCCCACCTCAGCTGTAGTTATCTGCAGTTCATCCAGAGTGATCATGGGCCTCTTGGCTGCATCTCTGATCAGTCTTCTCCTTGTTTGAGATGTATGGAGCTATTATTGTTCCAATAATATTTGTGTGTGCGTAAACAGATTTGTGTGTGCGTAAAAAGATTTGTGCGTGCGTAACCAGATTTGTGTGTGCGTAACCAGATTTGTGTGTACGTAAAAAGATTTGTGTGTGTGTCAAAGAAATATTTGCGCGTGTGTAAATAGATTTGTATGTACGTATCAAGATTTGTGTGTGCATAAAAAGGTTTGTGTGTGCGTAGAAAGATTGGTGTGTGTGTAAAGAAAAAAGAAAGAAAAAGAAACGTTTTACACACAAGTTTTTTTTTTACACACAAATCTTTTGACGCAGTCCTGCCTTCGCAGATTCGCAAGTGTAACTTTGACTGTATGCGTGCGTAAACAGATTTGTGTGTGTGTAATTTGACATTTGTATCTGTAACAGAACAATCTGTGTGTAAATAACCACGTTGTACAAAGAGAAGAACGGAAAAAAGCCTAAGTGCTACGCACAGGCTCTGTTTTACACACGAATCTCTTTTTGACACCCCTCTGCCGCCAAGCGTGTGTCAAAAAGATTTGTAAGTGTAATGTGGTTGTTCTAGCAGTACACCAGCAGATGGTGCTGTTGTAGCTGGTTATTACCTACACACAAGCAAACCAGCTGAGTTTGTGGCACTATAGTGTAGATAGAGAAAACCGAAGGATTTAAGAAGAAGAAAAGTTCAGGATGACAAGGAACACTAAAATTCCCACAAAATCCGACCTTTATGAAAGCTGTAGGTTCTTTATCAGCTGTTTTAGTTTACTTTGAGTTCTATGGGGAAAATGGCTGTGTAGCCCACGTGATTTTAGTCTGCAGTACGCGAGAATCCTTCAGCTCCAAGCTAGTAACACCTAAACCAGTTATTATAATAGATCCATGTATAATACAGTGGTGTGAATGACAGGATTTTGAAAATAGGAAAACAATATCATAAACAGCTGCGGTAGTGTGTCTTGTTATTATTGCCTGTTTTCTTGGCATCTGCGGCTGATTTAGTTCATGTTCTAGCCAAAAAAGTGTGGGCCCGTAAAAGGGGAAAGCGCGGAGGCCTGCTCGTGCGTCTTAGGAGGAGAAGAGCGCGCACGGCTCTCCCCGGCATTTTTCTCTCCAACGTACGCTCACTGGGCAATAAGATGGACGAACTCAGCCTGCTCATGAGAAGAAACAAGGACTTCGCCACATCCTGTGTCCTCTGCTTCACTGAGACCTGGCTAAATGAGCGGATCCCGGACTGCGCTCTGGAGCTGCAGGGCTTTGGGCTGTTCCGCGCGGATCGCCATTGTGCGCTCTCAGGGAAGAGCAGAGGCGGTGGGCTGTGTTTCTACGTCAATACAAACTGGTGTAACGATGTGACAGTGATCTCCAAGCACTGCTCTCCTGCTCTGGAATATCTTTTCATTAATTGTAAACCATATTACTCCCCTCGTGAAATTGTTTCATTCATTCTTGCCTCTGTTTACATACCGCCATGCGCGGACGCGCGCGAGGCTCAGCGCGCACTCGCAGAGCAAGTACTGTGTATGGAACGCTTATACCCGGACTCTCTGATTATTATCCTGGGGGATTTTAATAAGGGAAACTTGAGCCAGGAATTACCCAAATACAGACAGTTTATCAAATGCCCGACCAGAGAGGAGAACACTCTGGATCACTGTTACACCACCGTGTGCGGAGCTTTTCGCGCTGTTCCCAAGCCAGCCCTCGGCTTCTCAGATCACTCCATGATACATCTGGTTCCTGCTTACAGACAGAGACTAAAGCTCTCGAAACCTGCAATGAGGAGCTCCAAAGTGTGGTCTGATGAAGCTGTGGAAGAGCTGCGCGCATGCATGGAATCTACAGACTGGGACCTTTTCAGAGCTGCCACAGATAGTTTGGATGAATATACGGACACTGTGACGTCATACATTCACTTCTGTGAGGATAGCATCATTCCAACAAGGACCAGGGTCATCTATAACAACGACAAACCCTGGTTCACTGCTAAACTCCGGCAGCTCAGGAAAGCAAAGGAGTCTGCTTTCAGGGAGGGGGACAGCAGCGGCTACAAAGCAGCTAAATATCAGTTCAGGAGAGAACTGAAAGCAGCCAAGTCCCGGCACAGAGAACGACTACAGGAGCAGTTTGGTAACAACGATACTGCTTCTGTCTGGAGGGGCCTACGGGAGATCACCAACTACAAACCCAAAGCCCCCCCCTGTGCTGACGACCACAAGCTAGCTGACGATCTGAACTTATTTTTCAGTCGCTTTGATGCTGCCCCTGACACCTCTCCCTCCCCCACCCCCCACTACTCTAACGACCCACCCATCAGCCCTGCCCCCAGCCTAACAATAGCCGCTAAAGAGATTAAACAACTCTTCCTGAGGCTGCACCCCCGCAAAGCTCCTGGCCCGGACCACGTGTCTCCGGCCACTCTGAGACACTGCGCCAGTGAGCTTACTCCTGTGTTCACTGACATTTTCAACACCTCTTTGCAGTCCTGCCATGTCCCGGCCTGCTTCAAATCCTCCATCATTGTCCCCGTCCCGAAGAAGCCCAGGATCACAGGACTCAATGACTACAGACCTGTAGCACTTACGTCTGTCGTCATGAAGTCATTTGAACGCCTGGTTCTCTCCCATCTCAAGTCCCTCACCTCCCCCCTCCTGGACCCCCTGCAGTTCGCCTACAGAGCCAACAGATCTGTAGACGACGCCATTAACCTGGCCCTCCACCACATCCTACAGCACCTGGACTCCCCGGGGACCTACGCCAGGGTCCTGTTCGTGGACCACAGCTCTGCCTTCAACACAATCCTGCCATCCCTGCTCCAGGACAAGCTCTCCCAGCTCAACGTGCCCGATTCCACCTGCAGGTGGATCACTGACTTCCTGACGGACAGGAAGCAGCGAGTGCGTCTGGGGAAGAATGTCTCGGACTCTCGGATTATAAATACAGGAGCCCCACAGGGCTGTGTTCTTTCTCCCCTGCTCTTCTCCCTGTACACCAACCACTGCACCTCCAGCCACGACTCCGTGAAGCTGATCAAGTTCGCGGACGACACCACCCTCATTGGACTCATCTCCAACAACTATGAGTCCGCCTACAGGAGGGAGGTGGACCGGCTGGTGTCCTGGTGCAGTGGTAACAACCTGGAGCTGAACGCCCAGAAGACAGTGGAGATGATTGTGGACTTCAGGAAGAGCACTGTCCCCCCACCCCCACCCTCCATGATGGACTCCCCCATCACCTCTGTGGAGTCCTTCCGTTTCCTGGGCACCACCATCACCCAGGACCTCAAGTGGGAGCCGACCATCAGCTCCCTCATCAAGAAGGCCCAGCAGAGGATGTACTTCCTGCGGCAGCTCAGGAAAGCCAAGCTGCCTGCACAGATGTTGGTGCAGTTCTACACGGCCATCATCGAGTCCATCCTCACCTCCTCCGTCACCGTGTGGTTCGCTGGAGCCACAGTCAGGGACAAACAGAGACTACAGCGCATTGTGCGCTCTGCAGAGGAAGTGATCGGCCGCAGCCTTCCATCGCTGCAGGACCTGTACGTCGCCCGAGCTCGAGGCCGGGCTGGTCGTATCACAGCCGACCCCTCTCACCCTGCACATGGACTATTCCAACCACTCCCCTCAGGCAGGAGGCTGCGGTCCATCAGGACTAGAACCTCCCGCCACAAGAACACTCTTGAACACTTCTTAACCTGTCCCCCCGCCCTCTATAAAGTCACTTTACTGCCCATCATACGTCACTTTACTTCACTGTACTGATGTCACCTTACATTGTGTGCACCATGTGCACTTGTATATTGTAAATAGTAACTGTAACTCTATTTTAAATTTAAATTTATTCTTTAGAAGTGTTTTTTATTCTTATTTTTATTATCTCTTTTTGACTGTTGCACTGAGCCAAAGCAATTTCCTAGTCTGTGACCTCCTGTTACTTACGTGGCAATAAAAATGATTCTGATTCTGATTCTGATTGTCAAGGCAGTAGGTTTTGGTTTGCTTGCCTGTAGGTAATAACCAGCTACAACAGCACCATCTGCTGGTGTACTGCTAGAACAACCACATTACACTTACAAATCTTTTTGACACACGCTTGGCGGCAGAGGTGTGTCAAAAAGAGATTCGTGTGTAAAACAGAGCCTGTGCGTAGCACTTAGGCTTTTTTTGTTCTTCTCTTCGTACAACGTGGTTATTTACACACAGATTGTTCTGTTACAGATACAAATGTCAAATTACACACACACAAATCTGTTTACGCACGCACACAGTCCAAGTTACACTTGCGAATCTGCGAAGGCAGGACTGCGTCAAAAGATTTGTGTGTATAAAAAAAACGTGAGTGTAAAACGTACTTTTTTTTTCTTTACAGACACACAAATCTATTTACACACGCACAAATATTTATTTTACACACACACAAATCTGGTTACGCACGCACAAATCTTTTTATGTACACACAAATCTGGTTACGCACACACAAATCTGGTTACGCACGCACAAATCTGGTTACGCACACACAAATCTGGTTACGCACACACAAATCTGGTTACGCACGCACAAATCTTTTTACGCACACACAAATATTATTGAAACAATAATAGCTCCATAGAGATGAAAGTTTGGAGGGACGGCCGGGTCTTGGTAGATTTGCAGTGGTCTGATACTCCTTCCATTTCAATATAATTGCTTGCACAGTGCTCCTTGAGATGTTCAAAGCTTGGGAAATCTTTTTGTATCCAAATCCGGCTTTAAACTTCTCCACAACAGTATCTCGGACCTGCCTGGTGTGTTCCTTTGTCTTCATGGTTCTCTCTGCGCTTTAAACAGAACCCTGAGACTATCAAAGAGCAGGTGCATTTATACGGAGACTTGGTTACACACAGGTGCATTCTATTTATCATCATCAGTCATTTAGGACAACATTGGATCATTCAAAGATCCTCACTGAACTTCTGGAGTGAGTTTGCTGCACTGAAAGTAAAGGGGCCGAATAATATTGCACGCCCCACTTTTCAGTTTTTTATTTGTTAAAAAAGTTTAAATTATCCAATACATTTTGTTCCACTTCACGATTGTGTCCCACTTGTTGTTGATTCATGACAAAAAATTAAAATGTTATATCTTTATGTTTGAAGCCTGAAATGTGGCGAAATGTTGAAAGGTTCAAGGGGGCCAAATACTTTCGCAAGGCACTGTATATGTGTGTGTATGTGTGAGTGTGAGTTTGTATGTGTGTTTGCGTATAAGTGTGCGTCTAAATGTATGTTAGTTTGTGTGTGTTAGTTTACCTGGATCTGTGTGTGTATGCGTATGTGTGTGTTTGTGCTGTGTCTGTGTACATGTAGGTCTGTGTCTCTATGCATCTGTGTGTGTGTGTGTGTGTGTGTGTGTGTATGGCTCAGGCTGTGCTGCAGCAGAGGGAACAGAACACAATGCTCTCATAAACCTGTGAACTCCTGTCGCTCTTTATTGAAGACGACATGTTCTTTTAGCGTGCACGCCGCTTTGGGCCGCTTCTGCTGTCGTTACAGACGCCCTGATGCATACAACACTGGATTACCGGGATTATTAGATTGTATGGGAAACACGACCTCTTGAGACTGGCACTAACATGTCACAGATGTACATGGAGAGACGTGTACACAAACACAGCTGCTTTAAAGTCTACTCTCTGAGCTACAGGAAGCCAGTGCAGAGACCTGAGAACTGGACTGATGTGATCGTACTTCCTGGTTCTAGTCAGCGTTTTGGATACACAGGATCTATTGTATGACTCATTTGAAGAGCTGTAAAGAATAGCTGAGGAGCTGAGTGGTTGAGGATTGACAAAGTGCAATACCCACCATGTAGTGGGTACAAACTCACACACACGTACAAACGCACAGACACACTCACACACACAGTCTTTCCAGCAGCTTGTGATTTTCTGTGCAATAATCCTTGTTAGAGATGCAGAGGCGTTGTAATGGCACTCATAACCATCGCGAGGCAGTTAATCTCGCTGCTATCTTGGCCCCGCGGTCCTCTGGGACGGACACTTCACACTGTTTCACGGCCTCCATGACCATTAGGATCTCCATTTGGCTAACTAATGCCGCCTCAGCGAGATCCCTGCGCCGTGTCATTCCAGACGTGCTAATAATATAAGTCCATCATGCTACGGGGGGGGGTTTGATGAGAACAAGTTACTTTTCCTGCAGAGGAAATATAATTAGAGATCGACGGATATATCAGGCCGATATTTTATGCTTTTGAAATATTAACTTCAGGTCGTTATGCAACAATGAAACAAGTACGTGTAGGAGAGACAGTGATCAGTGTCAGTCTTTAGTACGTTGTGCATTTGAAAAAAATCAACTATTTTTTGCGACCATCCAAAGATGGTCTCTTTCTGACTGTTGCACTGAGCCGAAGCCATTTCCAAGTCTGTGACTTCCTGTTACTTATGTGTGAATAAAAATTATTCTGATTCTGATTCTGAAGAGGTAGGATACTATATGTTTTTTGCAGTTGCATTTTTTGCAGTTGACCGACTCTGTGACTTTAATATCTTCCATGTGTTTTAACAGATGCTCACATAAATAAATGACCCTGGTTAAAAAATGTAAACGTGGTGCAATAAAGAGAAAGCTGAGACTGTCATTCTTTATCGGCGCTATTGCTATTGGAAATTTGGTGAATTGTGGCTCTTGGTCCCAAAGACTTGGTAAGATCTTATTTGGTGGTGGAAAAGAAAGAACAGTGACTGTAACTAATGTTGGAGCAAGCATTAGTCACAGAACATTGAAAAGTCTAATTCACAAATGTATTCTAATTCATGTTTTGATGAGAACAACAGCTTTTCAGAAATATTTGAGATTGCATTAGTATGAGCACTATCTATCTATCTGTCTGCCTAAGCACTGTCTGTCTGTCTAAGCACTGTCTGTCTGTCTACTACTACATGGCTCTTGACCCAAAACAAAGTTCAGATTGCTTGTTAATGGGGAGTAATTTGTTCAAACCGGGCCTGTTTAGTCTCTGTGGATGTTTAAAGTTTGCCAAAACTGCCGAAATGTTGTCCAGAAAGTTCACATGACGCTTTCCACATCAGCAGTTAAAGCTGCGTGTCATGGCTGCACAATCTGCACTTCTTTGCGCATGTGCAGGGAGAGCTGGAAGAAAGTGTTGGGAAAGATCAGACAGCAGCTGTATGTGGCCAGCCAATCTTCGTTCACAAAATAGAAGTAAAGAGGTTCATAGATCAAGGACCAAAGGTCGGACCGCAACTGTATCAGGGGTCATAGTTGGGACATGTTCTGAAAAGAACAGTCACATGTCCTTAGAGACAGTCAGGAAACTGATCTTCCTCTCAACAACGTGACACAGCACTTTTAATAATGGTACAAAATGGTTTTTGCAGATGAGTTTGTGTGCACTGAAAAGTTTCAACAATCAAGCAGATGCAATGGCAGCTGTACCATCAGTCGACTTTATTCCCACTCATGCCAAAATTGAAAAAAGTTTTTGTTGGTTAGAATAAGCCTCATGTCTCTAGTATTCTATTTCTTGTTTAATTTCGGCTGTCTATACCAAGTAAATGCATTATTCACAACACTACGCCTACAGCTATGTTTTATTGATATTGCTTTGACCAAATCTCCTCCAGTCTGAGTTCTGATCTCTCTCTTTCATAATCCCACTTTCTCACACATAGTTTACAATGTTTAGCCGATCCCTCATGCACATTTAGTCTTGGATCGCCTCCTCCTTTTGGTCATAAAAGCCAGCAAGTCTGAGGCAGTGTTTGGGGGCTCGCAGTGCTCGGATCGATGCGGTCTTGATCCTGCCGTGTTGACAGACTCCAGTGAGCCCTCCAGTCTGGCTTTTGGCCCGATAAACGCTGACATTCCCAAATATGGCGCTGTTGTGATGACCGAGGTGTGTGTGTGTGTGTGTGAGAGACTGGGGGTGTGTCTGGGGAATAGAACTGGTGTGTAGGTCTATGGCAGTGGTCCAGTCTCCCGGTCTGTCTGAGCTGTCAGTGCTCATCCCTGCGTTGAGGGTGGGGGTCTTGGAAGATAACGAGCGCGGCAGACGTAATCCTCAAAACACGACTGCTCCCTTGACGCATCGCCTACTGGGATTTAGTCTAATGCAGGTGCAATAACTTCTGTCGTCTTTGTGTGCATGGAGAAGTAAAAAAGGTAATTACCGGGAGATTAGCCATGTGGCAGCAGCCAGATGTGGGGACGAGCATGTGGAGTGGAGTTTGAGAAACCTGGAGATGCAAACCATTTTCACATACATGGATGAGACTGAAATCGATGTTAACCCTTTAGGCGTCAGTAGTTTCAGAAATGTGATGTGGAACAGACAAAAGGTGGAGCCCTGAGCTATGTGAGAGGCAGAGAACTACTGAAATCAATAACAGACATGAAAATAAGAAAAAACCCTTTGTGTTGGATATAAAGTGTCCTTCAAGATCTCGTGGGGCATATCTGTTTCTTTGGCGACTTAAGGGCTAATGCATGAAAATGTTAACAATGTACAATAACAAGACATGAATGCATTAATGCAGTGGTGTCAAACTGGTCCTAAAAAGGCCAGTGTAGCTCAAATGTGCTCCTACTTGGTTGAAATGAAAACCTGCAGCCACACTGGCGCTTTTAGGACCAGTTTTACACACTGCTTCAATGTATACATTCATCATGAACTGATGATGTTTGGTTCATCATTCACTAATGATTCCCATGAAGTCATGATAATGTTTACAGTTTCTC